AAATTTTATTTCAAAAAATATTAAAAGCATTGAGGAGCTCAAAAGATGGTAAAGGAATAACCAGACCAAAATCTATAAGAAAGAGATAAGTGGCTTAATAAAACTGTCTTTGTCCTATAGACATCTGCCTAACTCACAATGTTGAGCTTCAGATTTGATGATCTCCTGGCAAAGAACAGAAGTCAAAGTTCAAGACCCACCCAACATGGAAAATCTAACAGAAGACCCTTTCTTCATAAAGCTGGGACACACACACACACACACACACACACCCCACCAAAAGTTTCATCCTCAGGAAACAAGTGAACCAGAAGTAAACCTAGTCCACCCATTGCCACATAGGATCCCCAAAGGACTACAAGGAAATTTGTCTTCCTGTGGCAAAAGAAAACAAGGATTCCTAAGAGACTGTGAAGATAAGCAAGCCCACACACATAATTGCAACCCAAATTCACTTCCTTTGGGTGGTCCAGAACCTCAAAGAATGAATCTAGTCACCAAACTGTAGTGCCTGAGGCATCTGGAAAAAAAAAAAAAACAGAGGTAAATCCTCTTGAAGCAATGCATTTCCTTCTTAGGCCTCAAAGAACACCCACAAATATTTTTTCCAAGGAAACTAAGCAGTTCACAGTCAAAATCTCACATAGGATAAATAAAAGAAATCGATACCTAGGCACAACATATGAAACTTCAGAAAATCAAAAACCACAGAGCGCAAAAGCAGTCCAAGGTAAAAACAATTTGCTTAAATGAAGAACTATTTGGCAGCTGATTTATCAACAGCAGCAATGGAATCCAGAAGACAGTGGAATTATTTCTTCCGATGACCGCGAAAATAACTACCACCCCAGGATTTTATACCTAAAGAAGGTAATAAAGACTTTCAGACAAAATAACTGAGTTTACTATAGAAAATCTCATTAAAGAGAATTCTAAAGAGAAAATTTTCTGAAAGACAGTATGCATATGGAAAAATCTGAAATCTCTAGAGGAATCAAGAGCACATCAAGCTGGAACTGACATCAAATTTCAGAGACTCATTTTCACTATTTTCTGCCATGCAGACTGAAGAGTAGAAAAGCCAGTTGATAGCAAGACAGAAAGAAATAGACTTAAAGGAAAGAGAAAGAAGTAAGGTCCTAGTACCATTGTAAGCCCTGGTTCCAGCTGTTCTTAATCCCTAATGAAAGCCTGTCCTTGGGAACTGGGAGACATCCCACTGTCCTTATGTTAGACTCTGCATTTCCCTTAAAAATGAAGAAGGGAGAAAGGTCAGAAATTAATGAAATTGGAAACATACAATAGAGAAAATCAAAGTCAAGCACTGTTTTTCTGATGAGGCTAAGAAAATACATAAAATCTCTAGCAAGACTGATGAAGGAAAAAATGGAAGGCACAAAAAATATGAGGAATAAAAAAGACAGAGATAAATACTTACACAACAGAAATTTAAAACAGAAAGAATGCTTTAAACAACTTTATGCCAAATACTTTAAAAACGTAGACAAAATGGATGGATTCTTAAAAAAAAGAGAAAACTTTCTAAAACCTGGCTTAACTAGAAACAGAAGTCCTAGATAAAACCATTTAGAGGGCTTCCCTGGTGGCGCAGTGGTTGAGAGTCCGCCTGCCGATGCAGGGGACACGGGTTCGTGCCCCGGTCCAGGAAGATCCCACATGCCGTGGAGTGGCTGGGCCCGTGAGCCATGGCCGCTGAGCCTGCGCGTCCGGAGCCTGTGCTCCGCAACGGGAGAGGCCACAACAGTGAGAGGCCTGCGTACAGCAAAAAAAAAAAAAAAAACAAACAAAAAAAAAACCATTTAGAAAACCAAATACATATCTCCCCCTCAAAATACTAAGCTCACACCTCTCCCCTCAAAACACTAAGCTCACACCTCTCCTCCCAAAACACTAAGCCCAGAGAGTCAAACAGAAATTCAACCAAACTTTCAAAAAATAGATCATTCCAGTCTTTTCTTTTTTTCTTTTATTTATATTATTTTTGGCTGCGTTGGGTCTTCATTGTTGCAAACAGGCTTTTCTCTAGTTGCGGGGAGCAGGGGCTACTCCTTGTTGCGGTGCGCGGGCTTCTCATTGCAGTGGCTTCTCATTGCGGAGCATGGGCTCTAGGCGCGCAGGCTTCAGTAGCTGTGGCTTGTGGGCTCTAGAGCACAGGCTCAGTAGTTGTGGCACACGGGCTTAGTTGCTCCGTGGCATGTGGGATCTTCCCGGACCAGGGCCCAAACCTGTGTCCCCTGCATTGGCAGGCGGACTCTTAAACCGCTACGCCACCAGAGAAGCCGTACCATTCGAGTCTTATACAAATCCTTCTGGGAGGTGGGGATGGGGGGATTAGTTCCCACCTCATTCTTTAAGGTTGGTATAATCTAGATACCAAATCAAATAAGGGCAATACTATAAGAAATAAAAATTATGGACCAATTTCATCTGTGAACATACATACAACAATTCTAAATGAAATATTAATAAGTTAAATTCAACTACACTTTTTTTTTTGGCCACTCCATATGGCATGTGGGATCTTAGTTCCCTGACCAGGGATCAAACCTGCGCCCCCTGCAGTGGAAGTGTGAAGTCTCAACCACTGGACCACCAGGGAAGTCCCTCAACTACATATTATTTAAAAAGACCATCATGATTAAGTTGGGTTCATCCCAGCAATGCAAGGGTGATTCAACATTAGAAACTTGATAAATGTCATTCATCATATTAACAGAATGAGGACAACCACATGATCATCTCACAAATGTAGGAAAAGCATCTGATAAAATTCAATGCTCAAAAAATTCAATACTCATTCTTCACACACATACAAAATCTTAGCCAAATAGCAACAGAAATGCCTTTAACCTACAGAGTATCTATCAAAACTCTATAGCAAAGATTATTCTTAATGGTAAAACATAAGGAGCACTTCCTTTTAAAAACTAAGTGCAATATAAGAATGCCCACTGCTGGGACTTCCCTGGTGGTCCAGTGGCAATGAATCTGCCTTACAATGCAGGGGATGCTGGTTCAATCACTGGTCAGGGAACTAAGATCCCACATGCCGCGTGCCAACTAAGCCCAAGCGCCGCAACTAGACCCCCCACATGCTGCCAACTACAGAGCCCATGCGCTCTGGAACCCGTGCACCACAACTACAGAGGCCACGTGCCCTGGAGCCTGCACACCACAACTAGAGAAGAGAAAACTCGCATGCCACAACTAGAGAGAAGCCCGCACACCACAACAAAGGGCCTGTATGCCGCAACTAAGACCCAACAGAGCCAAAAATAAATTAAATAAATAAAAAATTAATCTTTAAAAAAAATTCAAAAAAAACCAAAAACAAAAAACAAATGCCCACTGTTAACACTTGTATTGAATACTGTAGTCAAAGTCCTAACTAGCATAGTAAGGCAAGAAAAAGAAACAGTGTAAGCACTGGAAAGGAAGACACAATTACAATCATCATACTTTAGTAACTAGGTACTAAACATAGATCTATATACCAAAAAAGCTTATATCAGCAAACAAAATGGAAAAAAAGAGGAAAAACATACTATTTACAATAGTAACAACAAACAAAGTATCTAATAATTAAATTTAAGAGATTTGAGAGACCTTTACAGAGGAAAAGAAACTTTACTGAAAAATACTTTAAAATATCTAAATAGCAAGAAAGATATACTATGTTCAAAGAAAGGAAGGCTCAATATCATAAAATAAAGAGAATAAAGTAAATGCATGTGTAGATTAAAGCTTCTGGAATCTTGGGCTCATATACAAGCAAGTCCCATTTTTAATAACAGCTTTTGAATTTTTACGTAACCTGACTCAAATTACTCACTTTGATGGATATTTCTGCAATTGGTATAAACTTATTAAGCACTAATTATATATACTTTTTAACTAATTGTAGCAAGAGTTGATATCACACTTCAGAATTCTGACAGCTACAAGGAACAAGTATGAGTGAGGAGCATATGATCGGTACATGGCCGAGTTCTAGTTGAATGTGCTGTGGTCCCACTGATTCAAAGGTCATTCAGTGTGCACAATCACCACAATGTAAGTTCTAATAACCACTCCTGCAAGTGATGAAATGTTGCCAACATTTTACATAACACGTAAAGTTTTCATTCTTGATAATTATCTGTGAACATTGCCAAAACACCATCTCCTTAAAAGTCACCTAAAAATGTAAACATTTATTTTGAATACAAATTCCTCTTACAAGAGGAAAACAGACAAAACACATTCATCATACAATGATCATATTGAGCTCAAAGGGTACCTCTAGTGGACCTATGTGTGGTGCTTACACATACAATACCCTTTGTACATGTGAGACCGATAAGCAGTTGCCCATCTGCTTTTATAATAGATCTGAACTTGATCAAATGAATGATTTTCTTTAGGTCTAACTTATTCAATTTTAATTTTGGTTTACATAGATTTCATGAGCTGCTTAAACTTTGCTTTATCCAAATTTCCTAACAGAGTATTAAAAATAATGATCATCTGTTTTACTGGTTGTTAGGAGATGATAATACTAATAGTTAATATTTATTGAATGCTTAGTGCGTGGAAGGCACTGTTTTAAGTGCTTTGTATACAGTAAATCATTTAATCTTCACAATAACCCTCATCAGGTGGATAATATTACTATCACCGTTTTACAGATAGGAAAACTGAGGTACAGAAAAGTTAAGTAACTTTCCCAACGTCACACAAGTAAGTGGAGACGCTTAGTGATTCATACCCAGGTAGCTGTCTCCAGAGCCCAGACCCTCAATTACTATATTTCTTTTCACAATATTTAAAAGATACACAAAATTACTATGGATGAAAAAACTCACCATTAAAAAAATTATCAATAAGAGTTAAACAACAATTAAGCAATATTAATATCAATACAACTTATCATAGGTTGACACTTCACAGCTATTTCAAAGTTTCATGGCCATGATTAAGAGTTTTGAAGTTGGACAGACCTGGCTCTGAATCTTGACTGTGCCCTTTACAAGCTGTGTGACTTTGGACAAGTTTCGTAACTTCACCAAGCCTCAGTTTCCTCATCTGTAAAATGAGAATAATAAACATCTCACAAAACTGTTGTTAGTAACATAATTATTGCTACATTACATTGATATGTAAATCCAAACAAAACAACAGATACACAAAATAGAGAGGTTCACAATTTCCCCCAGAAATCAGGGCTTTATTATAAATAATGAAGATGACCACTCCAAGTCACCAAAGCAACTATAAGACTCCCATACAAACAGAACCATAATACCCTCTAATTCATAATAAATAATTCCCCTGGATAAAAGTCAAATGCCTAGAGGTAAATTACTGAATCTCTGAAATATAAAATACCATATATACATAGAGAAAGAGACAAATAGATAAGACGTTGTTTGTTGATAACAATTCCCACGGATCCCATTCCACGCATACACTTTCTAAGACTAGTAGTATTCAAGGGGCCCAAAACAGGAAGAGCAGTGTCAAGAAGGAGTGATTCCTGGCACTGGTACGAAGAAATTTTTTTAAGAGAAAAACAAAAAGAAATAAACATGTCATCAAAGTAGGGTACAACTATCGTTACCACCAAAGAGTGACTGTGTCCCTTTACACCTGGCATTTTACACTAGTCAAAACAAGTGAAACTGTCACTACTGCTGTCTTTAGAACCTCAATAAAGTAATTTTACAATGAATAATGAGATTTCTATCAATACCTGCATTTACCAGTAATACGTCCATCTGTGATAAGGTTAAGTGTTTCTTTGACGGGGGTGATTTTAGCAGTACAATACAATGATCATTTTAAAAAAGGAAAAATAGGAATTATATTATACAAAAATCCTATAGGATAATTTTGTTAAACAGTTCATCAATACTATCATCAGGGCTTCCCTGGTGGTGCAGTGGTTAAGAATCCGCCTGCCAATGCAGGGGACACGGGTTCAATCCCTGGTCCAGGAAGATCCCAGATGCCACAGAGCAACTAAGCCTGTGTGCCACAACTACTGAGCCTGTGCTCTACAGCCTGCGAGCCACAACTACTGAAGCCTGCACGCCTAGAGCCCGTGCTCCACCACAAGAGAAGCCACCACAGTGAGAAGCCCACGTGCAGCAACGAAGACAAATGCGGCCAAAAATAAATATATTTTGAAAAAAAATACTATCATCGGGCTTCCCTGGTGGCGCAGTGGTTGAGAGTCCGCCTGCCGATGCAGGGGACATGGGTTCGTGCCCCGGTCCGGGAAGATCCCACATGCCGCAGAGCAGCTGGGCCCATGAGCCATGACCGCTGAGCCTGTGCGCCCGGAGCCTGTGCTCCGCAACGGGGGGGACCACAACAGTGAGAGGCCCGCGTACCGAAAAAAAAAAAAAAAAAAATTACTATCATCAAGGTGAGTTTTTATGAAGGTTACTAGTCTAAAATATGAATTATATTATTAAAATAACGTATTACATTAAAATAATTATTAAAATGACTGTGTGTTCATTGTAGCTCAAAGATTTAATAAGGAAAGAACTTCCATCCCCCCAAATATCCCCTTTTAACAAATAATTGCAAAATGGCCTTCAAATTTTCTTTTTTTTTTTTTTGGCGGTACGCGGGCCTCTCACTGTTGTGGTTCCCCCCCCCGTTGCGGAGCACAGGGTCCGGACGTGCAGGCTCAGCGGCCACGGCTCACGGGCCCAGCCACTCCACGGCATGTGGGATCTTCCCGGACCGGGGCACGAACCCGCGTCCCCTGCATCGGCAGGCGGACTCTCAACCACTGCGCCACCAGGGAAGCCCCAAATTTTCTTAATAAATTTGTAAAATTATCTGTCTGGAACAAAGGTCATCTAATTTTTACAAAGCACCTTTTTAAAGAAAACTTATTAGTTATATAGGAAGTGTTCAGGAAATCCTTAAACTACCTATTTTATAAAAGTTTAATGAAATGAACATAGGACATGAGGTACTCGAGGTTACTACGCCAGGACGGAAATACAAACAAAAAGATCTGGTCCTTTGACTCTGTATCTTAACAATTTGGAGTTTTTCTACCTGATCAGCATTTCCTTCACTACTCTACTTTCTCTAAATGATGAGAATAATTTTTCTGTCCTTTTCATGAGTTCTACAAATCACTGATAAGGTCAAGTCGGTTCAATCACAACTCAAATACTTTAATTTAGGAATTTTTAGGTAAATTTTTTACCTAAATTTTTTATGTAACATAGAGAAAATTTGCAAATATCACTAACTATTTACATTTTACCCCATTTGCTTTGTCAGTCTCTTTCTTCCTCACACATTTTTTTCTGAACCACGTGAGAGTGAGTTGCAGACACTGTAGCATTTCGGCCCTCAATATTTTCATGTAGTTTCCTAGGAACACAAACTTCCACTTAGATAACTACAGTATAGCTAACCAAATCAGTATTGTGTCGATGTTAAAATTTCTACTATATAATTACAGCACATATTCAAATGTCATTAACTGCCTTAAAAATGTCCTATAAAGCCATTAAATGTCCATTTAAAAATGTCCTCTGATCTCCCCAGTCCAGAATTCAATTCAGGATCATGTACTGCATTTAGTGGTAATGTCTCTTTAGAATCCTACCATCTGGAACAGTTCCTTAGTCTGTCTATGTCTTTTAAGACTGATATTTTTAAAGAACACAGACCATTTATTTTGTAGAATGTTCGTCAATTTAGGTTTGTCTGATGGTCTCTCATGTTTAAATTCAGGCTATGCATTTTTGTAGGAATGTCACAAAGTCATGGTAGGTGCTTCTCACTGCATTATATCAGAAGCTGCAAGAGGCTAGTGGGTTCTATTACCAGTGATGCTAACTTTGATCACTTGGTTAAGGAGTATCTGCCAAGTTTCTCCACTGTGAAGTTATTGTTTTTCTCTTTGTAATAAGTAAATATTTTGTTAGGAACTGTCTTGAGACTACGTAAATATATTCCTCATCAAACTTTTACCCCATAGTTTTAGTACCTGCAGAAGATTCTTGTGCGAAAGTACTATTTTAATTGTTCCAAAATGGTCATTTTCTAATTCCAACAGTTCTACGCCTATTAGCCATTTTAATGAATAACTTTCATTTCTCCCCAAGTTAGTAATTTATTCATTCACTTACTTATATTTGTATGGTTCTTATTTTTTCAGTGGGTTATAATCTATAACTATCATTATTCATTTGGCCAGTGGATGCTTCTCCAAACTGGTTCCTGTTCCTTTTGACTGTCCCCACCATTCTTTGACTATCTCCTTACTTTCTGCAACAATAATATGTTCCAGCCTCCTCTTGTACTTTCCCTGATCCAGTTCCTCCTGGGATCATCCATTTCTCCAAGGAGCTGTGGTTTCCTTTAAGTGGAGAATGGTTTTGAAACCAGCATATGGGAGTTAGGTGTGTTCACTGTAACTGCTTCTAGGTCTCTTAGCAAACAAAGCTGGAATATACACAAATACACACATCTACGCATATGCATACACATATATATGTATACATACAAATATACACGTATGTCTCTAAGAGAAAGATATGTAAGTGTATACATGCATACATGTATGTTTCTCTGTCTTTATATAAATAAATGTTAAAAACCATGAGTTCATAACCTCTGATTCAAATCCAGCGTCACAGGGTTCATTGGAGTCTTTTCTTCCTTATATCTAAAACTCCCTTCTCCAACAAAGAAAAACCTGGCTCCCATTTTCCTCAATACACTCATTCATTTGTTGAGTCCTAAAATAGATAGAAAATAGTTTCAAAATTACCAATTCACACCATTACAAAAAACAGCCTACAAATTAGGGTTTGTTATTTGTTTACAGCTCCTTTTATCTTGAATTTCAAAGTATAGGATGCTCAAAAGTTATTTGGCTTACTTTCTCCCTTCAGTGTGTTTATGTTATGAATTTGAAACACAGGTTTATTTGTTTCTGTTTATATTTTAGTGTTTTATCCCAACTTTATTGATTTCCTTTTATGTTTTTAATATAAAAACATGTTATTTATGTTATTAGTTTGAAACACAGGTTTATTAATTTGTGTTTATGTTATTAATTTGTTTATATTATGTTATTTAAATTATGTTATTAACTTGAAACACAGGTTTATTTGTTTCTGTTTATATTTTAGGGTTTTATCCCAACTTGATTTTCTTTGCTGATTTTTTGTTTTGTTTTGTTTAGTATCTAAAACATTAGCATGACAATGTTCTCTGATATTCTGCACTGATATCACATGCAATGCTACCAGGAGTTCTCTCTCAACCACTGATTGTAACACAACTTCATAGTTTAGAAAGTATATTTCCCACAAGAAATGAGCCTTTCTGTAGCCAATCACATGTATCTACCACCATCCCACTGAGGCCCAGCTGTTTTCTGGGAATTACTGTTTCTAGATATAGAAAGAAGGATAAAATGAAATGGGCAAACCCTACTCCAGCAACAGATATTACTTGTCAAATAGTTTTCATGCTACTTAGAGAGATGCCACAGGGTAGAAGAGGGCAGGACCCAGTGGGTAGAACTCCAGGTCCCTGCCCTGACTTGAATTCAAGATGCTATTGCTTTCACTGACATAATATATTGAGCTTTAGTCTGAGATTTTGCTCATCCAATTCATTCAGCAAACATTCACTGAGTGTCTATGTTGTTCCAGGCACTGTTGTAGGTGCTTCAGTGAAAAAAGCCTTCATGGGACTTACAATTCTAGTTGTGGGAGAGATAAACTATAAACCTAAGTAAACTGTATATAGTTAGTTAAAAGATGAAAGTTACAGAAAAAATTCAACAAGATAGTTTGCAATATTATATAGCATGTCCAGTTTAGGTCTCACTGAAAAAAGAAAGCTTCCTTTTATATGAATAATTTTTTTAAGTTTGAAAGTCATTAGGAGAGAAGAAGAGCAATCCAATTTTTCAGTTGGTGCTAACCTTATGTCTACAGGCCCAGGGACAGACTATGAGAAAAAAGTCATAAGACATTTTCCTTCCTTCTTTCACTGAATCTTAGCCAAAATCTAGAAACATTTAGGTTGGTTTTTCTCAATCCAGATCCTCTACTTTGTAAGTAATTACATATCTCTCCTAGATTCTGGCAAAGGGCTTTCCATCAATCTCAAACTCAAAATATTAAATTTCTTTTTTTCTTCAAACGATTTTAGTGGGAAATTGATAGAGGCAATATCAGGGCTGTTAACCACTCTTTTAGACCTTTAATCCTAACCAGATCACACTATAACTCCCCTACGTTTACAATCAACAAAAGACTAAGCTAGCTAATCTTTCTCATACCATACCACTCAAATCCTAAACAACTGAGTTTGTTTGAACCTAAGTGCAGAACTTTATAATAACCACAGGTAACAGTTAATCAGTCCCTACCACGTCCCAGGTATTATTTTAAATGACTTATGTATATTACTTCTTTTATACTTCAAAACAACCCTACGTGATAAGTATCATTAGTACATCCCTTTTATAGATGAAGAAACTGAGAAATGAAGAGGTTAAACAACCTGCTCAAGGTTACAAAGCTTCTAAGTGATAGAGCTGGAATTAAAAAACAGGCAGGCAGTTAGTTTGTGCCATTAACTGCACATATTAAACTGATTCTCAAAAAATCTTTACATAATGTGTTCTAGATTCTATCTTGCTAGATTTAAACAATTCAGTCTATGGAGGGAAAAAATATCTGACTTCAATGCTGTCATCCCATATATATGCTATTTTTCAAAGCTTCAACTGAATACTTGATCACCATGCCATGAAAGGGTCCAATGAAACTATTAATAAAAATGTGACCAGGAATAGTAGCAAATCAAATCCAACAATGTATAATAAGAATTATACACCACAACCAAGTGGGATTATTCTCAGGTATGCAAGGCTGATTCAACATTTGTAAATCATTTAATGCAATCCATCACATTAACAGGTTGAAAAGAAAAGTCACATGATCATATCAAGAGATACAGAAAAGGCATTTGACAAAATCCAACACTCATTCATGATAAAAATTCTCAGCAAGCTAGGAGTAGAGAGGAATTTCCTCAACTTAATAAAGAACACCTACAAAGACCTACAGCTGACATTTTACTTAATCATGAGAAACTAGAAGGCTTCCTGAAAAGATCAAGAACAAGGCAAAGGGACTTCCCTGGTGGTCCAGCAGTTAAGACTGTGCGCTCTCAATTCAGGGGGCCCGGGTTCGATCCCTGGTCAGGCAACTAGATCCTGCATGCCACCACTAAAAGATTCCACATGCCGCAACTAAAAATCCGCATGCCGCAACTAAAGATTCAGCATGCCGCAACTGAAGATCCCATGTGCCCGCATGCTGCAACTAAAGACCCAGGGCAGCTAAATAAATAAATATTTTTTTTAAAAAAGGAACAAAGCAAAGATGTCTCCTCTTACCACTCCTTTGCAACATCATATAACTCCTAGTTAACATCATTAACTAGGAAATGCTAGTTAATGGAATAAGAGAAGGAGATAAAAGGTATACAGAATAGGAAGGACAAAGTAAAACTGTCTTTGTTCGCAGATGATATGATCAACTACATAGAAAATCTAAAAGAGTCGGCAAAAAAACTCCTGGAACTAATAAGCAATTAACTATAGCAAGGTTGCAGGATACAAGGTCAATATACAAAAGTCAATCACTTTCTTATAGTATACCGGCAATGAACAAGTGAAATTTGAAATTAAAAATTATACATTTACATTAGCACCTAAAAAATTAAATACTTAGGTATAATTTATGGCAATTCTAACAAAATACGTACAAGATCTTGAAAACTACAAAATTCTGATAAACAAAGTCAAAGATAAACTAAATAAATGGAGAGATAATCCATGTTCATGGATAGGAAGACTCAATATTGTTGAGGTATCAATTCTTCCCTACTTGATCTATAGATTCAATACAGTTCCAATCAAAATCCCAGTAAGTTGTTTTGTAGACATCAACAAACTCATTCTAAAATTTAAAGCCCCAAATGGACCCACATAAACACTGTTAACTCATCTTTGACAAAAGAGCAAAGGCACTATAATGGAGAAAAGATAGTCTTTTTAATAAATGATACTGGAACAACTGGACAGCTACATGCAAAAAAAATTAATTTAGACACAGATTTTACACCCTTCACAAAAATTAATTAAAAATGCATTGGAAACCTAGATGCAAACTGCTAAACTATAAAACTTGTAGAAGATAACACAGAAAAAAAAAATCTAGATAACCTTGGGTATGATAATCACTTTTAAAATAAACCAAAGGCATGATCTGTGAAAGAAATAACTGATGAGCTAGACTTCATAAAATTAAAAACTTCTGCTCTGCATAAGACACTGTCAAGAGAAGAGAATACAATCCACAGAATGGGAAAAAATATTTCCAAAAGACACATCTGACAAGGGACTGTTACCCAAAATATACAAAGAGGGACTTCCCTGGTGGTCCAGTGGGTAAGACTCCACGCTCCCAATGCAGGGGGCCTGGGTTCGATCCCTGGTTGGGGAACTAGATCCCACATGCATGCCGCAACTAAGAGCTTGCATGCCGCAACTAAGAAGACTGCATGCTGCAACTAAGAGCCAACATGCCCCAACTAAAGATCCTGCATGCTGCAACGAAGGTCCAGCATGCTGCAACTAAGACCCTTCGCAGCCAAAATAAATAAATAAGTATTTTAAAGTATATATACAAAGAACTCTTAAAACTAACAATTCAATTTTTAAAATGTGCAAAAGACTTGAACAGATATCTCAACAAAGAAGATATACAGGACTTCCCTGGTGGCACAGTGGTTAAGAATCCACCTGCCAATGCAGGGGACACGGGTTTGAGCCCTGGTCTGGGAAAATCCCATGTTGCGGAGCAACTAAGCCCGTGCACAACTACTGAGCCTGCGCTCTAGAGCCCGCGAGCCACAACTACTGAGCCCACACACCACAACTACTGAAGCCCTCGCGCCTATAGCCCATGCTCGGCAACAAGAGAAGCCACCGCAATGAGAAGCCCATGTACCACAACAAAGAGTAGCCCCCGCTCACTGCAACCAGAGAAAGGCCACGTGCAGCAACGAAGACCCAACACAGCCAAAAAATAAATAAATAAATAAATTTCTAAACAAAAAGGAAGATATACAGATGGCAAATAAGCTCATGAAAAGATGTTCAAAATCATATGCCATTGGGGAACTGCAAATTAAAACGACAATGAAATAGCACTACACACCTATTGGAATGACTAAAATCCAGAACACTGACAACACCAAATTCTGGCAAGGATGTGGAACAACAGTTACTTTCATTCATTGTTACTGGGAATGCAAAATGGTACAGCCACTTTGGAAGAGTATGGCAGCTTCTTACAAAACTAAACATACTGTTACCTTACAATCCAGCAATCCCCTCCTCCCAGGTACTTACCCAAAGGAGCTGAAAACTCCACACAAAAACCTGCACATGGTTGTTTATAAAAGCTTACTTCATAACTGCCAAAACTTGGAAACAACCAAGATGTCCTTTAACAGATGAATGGATAAATAGTAAACTGTGATACATCTAAAGAATGGAATAATATTCAGCACTAAAAAGAAATCAGTTATCAAGCCATGAAAAGACATGGGGAAACCTTAAGTGCATATTACTAAGTGAAAGAAGCCAATCTAAACATACTGTATGATTCCAACTCTACGACATTCTGGAAAAGGCAAAAATATG